ATAAACAGCAATGAGACAGTTTCAAATCAAATCGGAAGTACAGTTTCAACAAATAATACACTGCATATATTCTTCTTAGTGGTTAATTGCTGTACACTCCTGCCTCTTATCTGAGTGCTGACATAACCTTGCCATCTGCCACTGCCTCCAGTTTTAACTTGATTCACTTCTATGTCCCTTATTGGTCTAGAAAATTTATAAAGGCAGGGACTGTGTGTGCTTTTCTCAGCATTTTGTGCAATGTCCGCCATATACTTTGTAAATATGTCTAAAGTGAACATATGAATAGGTTGGAGTGCTATGCCTAGAGGTATAGAGGATATTTTTCTTTTAAATGTATTTGGTTGTTACAGGGTCTCACTATGCAATTCAGATTCATAATGATCCTCCTGCTTTCAACTTCCCCAGAGCTGGGATTTCAGGCATGTGCCACTATACCTGGACTCTGGCCAGCTCAGCCTGCCCTGGGGGTAGGGCTGGTGCTGCACGTGGTGCTGGGGATGGAACCACAGACCTGTGCTTGCCTAAGCTTGCCTAAGCAGGTGCTTTAGTCCTCTGAGCTATCTTGCCAGCCTATAGGGGATTTACGGGGAAGGCTTTATTTTTGTTTTTGTTTTATTTCTTTTGGTCTTTTGGAGACAAGATCTCACTATGCAGTTCAGGCTTGTCTTGAGCTCACTTTGTAGCCCAGATTGGCTTCAAACTCTCAGTGATCCTTCTGCCTCAGCCTCCCAAATACTGGGATTATAGGAACACACCACCATGCCTAGCTCTAGAGTGGCTTTTTTTCTGGTTGTTTTTTTTTTTTTTTTTTTCCTTCAGTACTAATGATTGAACTTAGCTCCTTCTTACTGATCTACCTTCCCAGCACTTCCAAATTTTGTCTTATTTTAAGACAGGGTCTCACTAAATTACTAAACTGTACAGCACTCTATACTCAAACTTGAGATCTTCCTTCCCCAGCCTCCCAAGATTGCTGGGATTCTGCAACTGATCTACCACACCCAGACCATGGCCTTTTTAAATAAAAATTTAAAATTGTGAAACAAGATCTTGCTAAGACTAAGTTTCCCAGACTGATTGATTGATTGATTTATACTTAGTACAGGGTTTACAGGGTCTCACTACATAGATCAGACTCATAGTGATCTGCCTGTGTTCAGCCTCCCAAGAGCTAGGATTACAGATGCGTGCCACCATGCCCAGTCTTTTTTTTTTTTCTTTTTTTTTTTTTCTGGAACTGGGGATTGAACTCAGGCCCTCGTGTTTGCCAGGCAAGCACTTATTCCACTGAACCATCTCCCCAGCCCAAACAAGTGAGAGAATTAGCTTCCCCCCGTACCCATACCAGGGATTGATCTCAGGACCCTGCACTTGCCAGGCAAGCGCTTATTCTACTAAGCTATCTCCCCAGCCCATGCCCAGTCTTGCCTTGTTTATTTCTTCCTTTCTTTTCATCTTTCTTTCTTTCTTTCTTTCTTTCTTTCTTTCTTTCTTTCTTTCTTTCTTTCTTTCTTTCTTTCTTTTTACCAGAGATTAAAATAGGCACCTTGGGGCTGGTGAGATGGCTCAGTGGTCTAAAGCACCTACTTAGAACAAGCTTAGCAAAGCACAGGGACTACGGTTCAATCCCCCAGCACCACGTGCCAGCCAGCCCCGCCCCCTGGTGGGCTGAGCTGGCCACACACACAAACACACACACACAAATAAATAAAAATTAAAAAATAAATAAATAAATAAAATAAAATAAAATAAAATAGGCACCTTGCACTTGCCAGGCAGATGCTTATGCCACTGAGCTATCTCATCTGCCCTTTGTTTTGTTTCTGAGACAGGGTCTTTTGATGTAGTTCAGGTTGACTTTAGTTTCACAACACAGCCCAGGCTGGCTAGCTTTGAACTCATGGCTATTCTGCTGTCTCAGCCTCCTGAATGCTAGAATTACACTACCATCTATGTTACCATGACCCCATGGCCGGTGTCCAGGCTAATTTTTTGTTTGTTTTCACTAGTGGTGGTTTGTTTATTTGTTTTTGGAAATAAGTTCTCACTATATATAATATTCCAGACTGGCCTTGAACTTTCTGCATAGCTCAAGCTGGCCTTGAACTGATCATCCTTCTGCACCTGCCTTCTGTGTGCTGGGATAATGGGCATGTACCACCACACCTGGCTTCATATTAACATGGAAAACCAAGGCAGGAGGATTACCATAAATTTGAGTCTACTCTGGGGTACATACTGAGAACTTATTTCAAAAACAACAAACAGGCCGGGGAGATAGCTCAGTAGGGTAAGCGCTTGCCTGGCAAGCACAAGGGTCTGAGTTCAATCCCCGGTTCTGCAAAAAAAAAAAAAAAAAAAAAAAAAAAAAATTAGGGGCCGCGGAGATAGCTCAATGGTCTGTGCCTGCCTAGGCAAGCATGAGGACCTGGGTTTGATCCCCAGTCCCACATGCCGTGCTGACCCTGAGGCACTGAGCTGGCAATACCAGGTGTGGCGGTGCACACCTGTAATCCCAGTGCTGGGGAGGTTGAAACCAGATCACTGAGTCTAAGCTGCATAGTGAGACCCTATACCAAATACATAAAATTACAAAACAAAACAAAAATACCCTAATAATGGCCCATTGTGGTGATAAACATGTATAATCCCAGCTTGGGAGACTGAGGCAGGAGGATCCCCAAGAGTTCAAGGCCAGCCTGAACTACACACAGAAATCCTACCACAAACAAACAGCAAAAAAGTAGTGTGGGGAAAGTACCCCCCTCCATTCCCATATACAGGCATACAAATAAGCAAACATTCCTTACTCCTCACCTTAGGGTATAGTTCCAGTACCAGCAGGGGCCCAGAGGGCAGAGGTCCAGGGCCTCCCTGGCCAGCAGTGATAAAACGGACAATGTGGTCATGTTGTAGACCTGGCAGCTCATACATTGCCCTCTCAGACTGGAACTGGGCCACAGCTCTCGGAGGGAAGGCCTTGATGGCTACCAGTTCACCTTGCAGCTGCCCAGTCCATACTACTGCATGACCTCCTTCCTGGATTACCTGGAGGGGACACTATGCTGGGTGCAGGCCTAGGTGGTGGGCTAGGCTTCCCAGCACAACCTTCAGCAGTGCCCACAGGGTCCCTTCCTCCTGCCCTGGGGCACCTGAGAAAAACACAGCTGGGGCAGCTCTGGCAGCTCTTTCCTCCAGTCTCTGTCTGAGTCGGGCTCTGGCTCTGGGCCGCCTTGTACTCTGGGAACCTTTCGTTGGAGTAGGGCTGGGGCAGAAAAGGGCCTTGGGGTCAGAATATCTGTGCATAGGGATGAAGAAGGGGACCCTGTGGGCAGGGGGCTTTGTGCAAGATAATGAGAGGCATTCTGGGGAGTGTGTGGGTGTGGGGTGTCCTGGAGAGGGGTCAGTGCTTTGGGACAGGGTCTGGTATAACAAGGGAAAGGTAGGGTGGCAGATTAGTACCCAAGGCAACACTGCCCAGCAGCAGGAGGAGGAGAAACAGCCCAAGAAGCACCAACGCCATCCAGATGGACTCACCTGGACATCAAAGCAAAAACACAGGTGAGCAAGCGCTGTCCCAAACAGCACTCTCTCCTCCTCAGAGAGCATGCTTTGCAACCACCCCCAGCCTGGTCACAGCCTCCTTATCTCCTAGTCACCAGGCAACCAACTTCCCAAGGTCAGGAGGAGAAAAGCACGCCTGGGACGGGGGCAGGGTGAGAACTGACCTTGATTCTACCTCTCATCCTAACCTGGCCCCATGCCCTAGGCTCCAGCACCCCCAACACCCCTCATAGGCAGCTACCTGGGGTGGCCTGGGGGCCAGAAGCCCCCAGGCTCCCTGGAGGAGGCAGGTAGCTGTAATTGGCATTGCAGAAGTCAGTGCCACAGGAGCAGGTGAAGAGAGTAGTACCAGGGCTGGAGTGGGCTCGGGGTCTTGGGTCACAGTGGAGGGACTCACAGCCTGGCTCGTCACTGTCTCGGCATCCTGATGGGGTAGGATTAGGAGAAAAAGAGGGTTTGAGTACAGTGGGGTCTGGGAATTGAGAGGATAAATCCTTCTTTATCAAAAGCACCCCTTGCATCTTGCAGGGCTTTCTTTTCCTCCACACATTCCACTTCTCCCCTTCCCCTTGGTGGCCACCCATACCCCAGGACAAGCCTGCCTCCCACCCTGACCATCACCTGCCCTGTACTTTGCCATTCACCTTGCATCTCCACCTGGGCCTGGCCTTGGGTCAGGTTCCAGATCCCAAAGCAGCAGCGGCTGTAGAGGCAGCGGATAACCCTGGGGGGCCCTGCTCCTGCATCTAGCAGCTCCCCCAGTGTCTTTGTGCTTCCCTGCACTCCAGGGGCCTCAAAGAACACACAGGTCCGCCTGTTTGGGGGTGCTGAGGCCCAAGATGAGGAAAGGGGAGGATTCAAGAAGGGAGTGAATACAGGGACAAAAATAATAGCCTAAAAGATAGACAAAACACGGTTTTCATATCCCAGGGTCAGTAGTAAAGCCACAGGACAACGCCCGCCCCGCAGAATAACTTGACCACTAACCCCCGAGGGCACCTGGCTCTACCCCTCACCCTCACACAACCAGCCTCACTACTGTTCCAAAGGGGTGGCTGCTGCTTCGCCAGGTGGTGGAAAGACCCTGCCCCTCCTTATACACACATACCTTGCACAGCTGCAGGAAGCCAAGTCCAAAGCCCCAGTGTCCCCAGCATCCTGCTGAAGGATGGCAGCATGAGGACAGTATAAGCCAGGCCAGCTGGCCCTGGGCAAACTTCTTCAGATACAGGACACAATGGGGCTTCCAAGCCCTCAGTCCCCAACTCCGCCCCCTTTGTCCTATCCCAGTTTCTGTGGGAGAGATGGTTGCTGTGGGGGAGAGGGTGGGTATGAGAAAAACAGGGAAAGAAAGGGAGGAGCAGAAAACCAATCTCATATCCTCCTCTCTTTAGCCACCTCCTCTTTTCTCTGCAGTGCAGGAGGAGGAGGCATTCAGGTCTAGTGTAGAATCTTGAGATACCTAACTTCAGATCTCTGCTCTTTGTTGACCTTGGAAGCAGGTGCTGGAAACCAAAGTGAGGTCAAATGCAAAGGGACAATCAGCTCTGCCCACAAGGTATCTTTTTTCCTGGGGGGGGGGTGGATTAAACAGAGTCTTGCTATGTAGCCCAGGCTAACCTCAAACTCATAGGAATCTTCCTGCCTCAGCCTCCCTCAGGGAGATTACAGTTATGTACTAAAACCCACTACCCAGCATTCCTTCTAACCCATATTATTCAGGCCTCAGATCTGTAGCTCTCTGGGCAGGAGACTTCACAGCTCATATTAGAAATAGCGCTGCTGGTGTAGTGGTATCATGCAAGATTCCCACAACCCATACTAGAGTACAGTTCATACTCATTTTCCAAACTCAAGAATTAGAAAGTACATATTAAATTTTTCAGAGTTAAAAAAAATCTCATTGAAAATGGTTACAATGGGGGCCGGGGAGATGGCTCAGTAGGATAAGCACTTGACTGGCAAATGCAAGGATCTGAGTTCAATCC